GCTTCGCGGTACCCCCGCCGGGCGACGCGGCCTGCGGCCGCCTCGAGGCCGCGCTACCCCGGGCATCCCGAGCCACAGCCCAAACACTTCACAGCGGCACAAAAACAGACTGAAAGCGCTCGGCGCGCTTATATATAGGGACGGGAAGCGCCGCTCCYATTGGCTAAGAGGCGGCACCGCTCCCCCATTGGCCTCTYCCSCCGCCGCCGCCGCTGCCGATTGGCCGGATGTTCCCCCTCCCTTTCCGCCACTCTTCTGCACGTCTCGTGTTGGGGCGGGGCTTGGGAAGCAGCTGCCCCGCCCTCCCGCCCGCTCTACCCAATGCCAAAGCAGCGCCCCGCCAGCCAATGGAAAGGCGCATCGCGGCGCCGCCCCGGTAGCCAATGAGGAGGCGCGGGGCGCGGCGGGGCTCCGGCGGCGGCCGTTRCGGGGCGGCCGTTACGGGGCGGCCGTTGAGCGGGGCACAGAGGGACGGGGCGCCATGACACGGAGCTGCTCGGCGCTGGGCTGCACCGCCCGCGACAACGGGCGCAGCCGCGAGCGCGGCATCTCCTTCCACCAGTGAGTGCCGCCGGGTGGCGGGGCGGGCCCGGCGCTCTCCGCCCGCCCGCCCGCCCACGATCGCCTCTCTCCGCAGGTTCCCGGTGGACGCCGCGCAGCGCCGCGCGTGGATCCGCGCCGTGAACCGCGTGGACCCGCGGAGCCGCCAGGCGTGGAGCCCCGGCCCCGGCGCCATCCTGTGCTCGAGGCACTTCGCCGAGGGCGACTTCGAGCGCTACGGGCTGCGGCGGAAGCTGCGCCGGGGGGCCGTGCCCTCGCGCTTCCCCCCGCGCCCGGTGCGTGCCCGCCACCCCCGGGGGGAGCGCGTGTGTTTGTGTGTGTGTGTGTGTGTCCGTGTCCGTACGCGTGTCTGTCTGTCCCACTCGCCAAGCGGGGCTCCCCCGGCATGAGGGATTTAGTCACTAACCGCCCGTGCTTCCCTCTCTAGGATGCGCTGAGCCCTCGCAGCGGGAGCGGGCTGTCCCCGCGAGCCCTCAAGCAGCCGCTCCTGATCCCCTCCGACGACGAGGTCGTCTCCGAGGATCACAACTACAGCCTGAAGGAGGCGGCTGCGGCCGCTGCCGGGCAGCAGGCCCAAGGGCAGCAGGTAGGAGCGTGGCCCGAGGAGCAGCAGCAGCAGCAGCAGCTGGTGGCAGCGAGGAGGAGCCCCGCACCGCGGCCCAGGAACATCTTCAGCGTCATCAGGGAGCTGGCAGGGAAGAAGCGGTTGTCTGAGGAAAGTGTGAGTTTGCTGCAGGCCCAGTTTTCAGGTACTGCTCAGGGTATTTGAGTCAGAGCTTCAGAGTAGACGCTGCCTCATTCYAGTTTAATGAACTTACATGGCTGTAAATAGCCAGGGTAATCACCAACTGCCAGATTTCTAGGGGCAATGCTATGCACTTTAACTAGAACKTGTGCTGCAAAACTTTTCCTTTGCTAGATTAGCAGCTGTTTACTTGCATCACTGAAGCTGACCTTGTACTTTTTTAAAAGCAGATTTGCCTTGTGAGTCACATAGCTGGAGACATATGACAGAATACTCCCTGGAAATGAAGCAATTTGCTTGTGTTGTCCASCTTTACCACAATAAGGTCTATGACTACCTGCGGAAGATTTTCCCCCTGCCTCATCCTTCCAGCCTGACAAAGCAAGTTCATTTTCGTTCATTTTGGATGGGTTTCTATTTACTTATTTAGAAATTGAGGGAATGTAAGTCGGTGGTGAAAATAGTCCAATAGACCTCTGAGAAGGAAGGAATGGCCCAAACACTGGAAAGAAGGAGCAAAAACTAGTCAGGTATTTTTTGTAGGAGAAGCAGCTGATGTTAAAGTAGCATTTCTTTCAACAGCACTCCCCTTATCAGTTAGAGCTTACTGGAGAGAGGATAGAGACATGGGGCGAGCATCAACGCAGAGGAGTCAAACCACTAAGACCGYGCAGAGAGGAAGCTTTGAAACTGTTCGTTGGGAAAAGGAAGAGATTAGAAAACCTGTGCTCTAAATCTTAGCTCCTAACAACATCCTTCCTCCTTTTCCAGCTGGCTGTCTAACAGTGGTGCCGCTCCAGGCTTCAGCAGTGACATTTTTGTTCGCCTCCAGGAAAAAGCGGAGAAGGGAGACGAGCCCTACCGCCACTGTGCCCTGTTGGTGCAGGACATGGCCCTCCAGAGGCAGCAGGAGTGGGACACCCAGAGCCAGCGTCTCACGGGCTTTGTTGACTTAGGGGTGGGTGTCCTGGATGCCGACGAAGCCCCGCTGGCCTCRGACGTGATAATCCTCATGGCGGTCGGCATCACGAGTCCCTGGAGGGCTCCTCTTGGCTACTTCTTTGTGCACAGCTTGAGTGGCCACCTCGTCGCCCAGCTGCTCCGCCAGGCCATCAATAAGCTGAACAACATTGGCGTGGAGGTGCTGTCCGTGACAGCGGGTGCCACCGCGCGCGGGGCCGAGAYGGCCAGAGCTCTGGGGATCCGCATGGACCCTGAGAGGCTCCAGTGCACTTTCCAACACCCGCCCGGCTCTGCTCGTGACATCACCTACTTCTTTGACACGTGCCACGCGCTGCAGCTGATCAGGAACGCGCTGCAGTGCTTCCAGAAGATGCAGTGGCTCRGGGAAGCAGCAGAGTGGCAGCACGTTGTGGAGCTTGCAGCCCTGCAAGACAGAAGTCTGTCAGAACTGTGCAATTCCAGTTCCGGTGGTCCTGGAAACGGGCAGTGTTGCTACTTGAAGGTCAACCTCGCTACTCAGTTGTTCAGCGAGGGTGTTGCCGGTGCCCTGGAGCATCTCCAGAGTCTGGGCCTGCCCTCCTTCCAGAACTGCAGCGGTACCGTCAAGTTTGTGCGTTTGATGAGCCGGCTGTGCAGTGTGTTCCAGGGCAGAAGTCCTTCCGGCAGGGGACACAAAGGGCCTTTGCTAGCTGGAGATTACAGCAAAATCAGCCACCTCTTCAGTGAAGCCAGGAGCTTTTTCCTCACCTTAACAGACTCTGGGGGTAGGTGCATTATAAAAAGCAGACGCAAGCTGGGATTCCTGAGTTTGCTGCTCAACGCTGAAAGCCTCACGTGGCTTTATACCAATTATGTGCTGCCAGAAGGGCTGCCTCTGCAGTGCCTCCTGCCGCAAGCCTTCAGCCTCGAGCAGCTGGAGCTGTTTCTCCGTGCCCTCCAGCAGGCCTGTGCTGGCCACGGCCACCCCACTTGCGCCGCGTTCCAGGCGGCTTACGGCAAACTGCTGGCCGGCTGCAGCTTGGCACCGGGACCCTGCGGCAGTGGCTTTGGCGACGCGAGCTCCTTGGATTTGCCTACTTTCTACAGGACAGACCTAACTCTGGGCATGGTCCGTTCTCAGTATGATCCCACTCCTGGGAGGACTCTGGCGACGGAGGATCCCTTCAGTGCCGGCCTCTTTGYGTGCCACTTGGCCCTGAGCAACGCTCTCACAGACCCGTCGCTACACGAGCAGAGCGTCGCCCRCGCCGCAGGAGCTGTGGCCGAACAAGTGGCCTCTGATGTGCAATGCGACGCGTGTGTTGCTTCTCTTTTTGAGTCAGAGGCGAGCGTGCTAAGGAGCGGGGCGGTGCTCTACATAAAAAAGTCAGGTGGGGTGAGTCTGCCCTCTGTAAGCGTGCAGCACATCGCACGTGTTTCTGAACGAGTCCTGAGGACGTGCACGCAAGGGCGAGGTGGCCACATCAACTCCGAGCTCTGGGATCTGCTTCTCCAACAGAAAATTTTCTGTGAGCTTCTGGGACAAAAGAGGCCCCTCTTCCCCACACTCACAGACCATTTCTTTGACAGGGAGTCAAGCCTCGACAATCACTTTGTGGTCTTAGTAAAGAAAATAAGTCGGTGTTACGTACATGTCAGAACAAAATATGCCCAAAACTTGAAGTATCCTTGGGGAAAGCCCCGATGGAAGAGACTGAAGGGAAAACTCTCATTTGCATCACCCTTGCATCAGTGCCAGTCAAGCCCAAGCTGGGTAGGGCCATGACACCTCATACACTGCTGGCAGCTGAGGGTTGCCCCTCTTTAGCCTTAGTTAGGTCCAGGTAACATTAAGTTGCCAAAGACTATGGGGCAACAGTTTGCATGGCAAAACTCGATCTGTTAAATGGTGACAAGTGGGGCCAGTGCAACTGGTTCAGATCACGGTTCACAAGAGCCAAAGAAGRAAGTTCATTTCGCCATGTGCTGCCACATAGACATGTCCTGGACTTGATGTTGGTGGCAGATGAGGAGGAATCCCTGGAGATGTGTAGTGAGGAAATAGGGGACAATGCCATGTCCCCTTGCGGTGCTGGGATGCCTGCTGCCGTAGGGCCTCTTGCTAAGAGGAAAAAAACTGATGCATCTGCAGTTGCAGGGGGCTGGGGGATTAATGGTGCAGCCCGTTTGAGTCTATCATAAAGATGCTGCACTCAAAGATGCAGAAGAGATGACTAAGCTTTTACTTGAAAAGGAAAATAAAGCTGGGAGGAGAGGAATAAGACTGTGTTGTCTGTGGCCCTAAACCCTCGCCTTTAGGCCTCAACAAGCTAACTGAGCCCACGGACCTCCAGCAGGACTGGGGGCAAAGTGGATTGCACTAGAGAACGACAGCGCTCAAGTCTTAACTTTTGAAAATCAACATTGCCATTAAAAACCTGGGCAAGGGGAATCATTTCCACACGCGAAAGCAGCTCTCACACTTGCAATGGGGCAGAGAGGGTGGAGGCCGTCCTTCAAATCCGTGCTCTGCCCCTGCGGCCAGGGCTCGGGCCCGGACTGCTGAGCTGCTGCACGGGCAGCSTCTCCGCTCTTGTTACCTGGCCCGATGGGTCACCTGCTCTCGGCTCGACATGACACTGTCCTCCCCAGCATGTACTGGTGTTGGGCACGGCCTGCCGACCCCAGCATGCCGCAGGCTGCTTCTGGCAGCGTTTCCGCTCATTAATTTGGATTCTGTGCCCGSGAAGTCATGTAGCAGAACAGGCTTCTTCATTCAGCTCATTTGTGCACTAAGGAGSCTGCTGGGGAATGCAGCACTCCACCTGGAATAGCCAAGTCCAGCCTCACGGCTACCACAAGGAGCTGTGTAGGAGGTAACTATTTTTTTACATCATTTTGGAATTTGGAAGGCAAGGGGCAAAACGCTGCTGAGGTCTCAGTGGCTTGGTTGTTCGCACTACAAACTTCAAGCTCAAACATTCGCATCATCTAAACCTCCAGCAGCAAAAGGAGAGGAGCTGTGGGGAGCAGATCCTGCCARACTGTTACTCTTACCTGTTGGTGCTAATGGTTACTACTTGGGAAGCAGCTAGAGGGTGTTGACCAAAAGGAAATGCCTGCTTGGCCCACAGGGATGCTGCTCARGGTAGAGTTTCACTGCTGATTTTATCACCAGTCACTGACTTGGCACCCAGTCTGCCGCATGTGTCTTCACTACAGCCACTATGAGCAGGAGATTTTTCCTGCCTCCCCTTTCTCCACACAGCCTCTCTCAGGCACTCTGCCTACCCACACTTCTCATCCASATGTTCACTAGTGAAACAGAGCATCCTTTATCACAGCAACACCAAGCCTCTTCTGGGTATATCCTCCCAGGCATGCCCTTCCTTCTCCAAATCCTTTTGCTTCTCCTCCATCACMTCCCTTTCAAGCTTATCCTCTTTACATGTCTAAAACCTCATCCCTTTTGCACTTATTTGGGCCAGCCAGGTATTTTTCCTGAGAAATCAGACACACGAGAACCAAAGAAGAGGGGCCAAGCTCATTTTGCCTCACATTCCTTAATGCATGTAATGTAACATGACAGCTGTTAAAAAAAMCCAAACTTCCTAGCCACTCATTAAACAAAACTTTTGTCTAACCAGCACTCAAGAGCTTGTTTCCTGTGAAAGAATTAAAAACAATAAAGACCAAGACAGGGGCTCAGCTTCCCGGTGTTGTGCCACGCAGTCATTGCTCTCCAGGAACACACTCGAGCAATCAAGAGGTTGTCTCCAGTGGGATTCATGTATCCAACAGTCGAGGCAGTACTTGCATCAAAACCGTGCCTACTGCTACCCCAGTTACTGCTTGGCCATTTCGGTGAGAAATCCTTCCTGGGTATCTGGCAGCGCTCAYGGAAAGGAGGGCAAAACCATCATATTTACAGAATAGTATAAATGTTTATTTTTCTTTGTGATTTATCTGACTGTTTCATTTTTACAATATAGAAAAAGTGTATCCTTCGAATAGGCCTAGTAAATATAAATTTATTTTTTTCTACTTTCCGCTGTGAACAGAACTAGAAAATGAACCCTTGCCCCTTTCCCAATTATTTTTACCTAAGTGGCAGAACTTGACAGTAGATCTTGTCCAGCAGTTTGATGCAAATGGCTAAGGAAGTACAAAACCCAATTCCTAGGTACTACRCCGGGGCGAGGGGAGAAGGGAATCCGAGCTTCGTGTTGGAGAGAGCTTGTTCAAAACAACATAGAAGAACTAAGAGCGTCTGATTGCACCTTCAAAGTCTTTACAAGCAAAATATTCTCAAGCAATGCCATCATACATAATTACAACTGTAATCTAAATTTCACAAGTGTTTTTGCACACTGTATATAAATACACATCACAAAAGGTGCAATTTAGAGTAAGACACAGAATATATACAAAATTAACATGGATTGAAGTCTAAACAAAAGAAGGCATATTGCAATCTGTTTCAAAAATAACATAAGTAGGTATTACTTTATTCACTTACACTAATTTACATTTATACAAATCTTACTGGACATACTATATTAGGTCACTAGAAGTAAACTGAATATCTGCACTATCTACATGTAAAGTTACTGCACTGACTTTTAATTAAGTCCTAATTATGGAAAAAATGGCATTACTTCCAGTGAGCGATGGATTCCCTTTTCAGAGATTTGCACGCGCGGATCTGCTATTTCTGCCCAGGGAGCTGCTCCTACAGGACAGGGCTCTTCAGATGGCGGCCAGAAGGTGAAAGCTGCTCCCCTGCACCTCGGGAAGCCGTTTTGGGGGGCACCAAGCGCGGGTTGCAGAGACGGGGCCTTTCACCAAGCACGCAGGAGCGCGTGGAGAAGCCGCTGAGCGGAAACATCCTCCCATCCCGCTCCATCCTCACGCGTGCAGGCGCTTAGCCCGGCCGCTGCTTTGCCGCGTGCCGACCTTCTCCCAGCCCGGCCCTCCTCAAAACCCCACATGAAGTATCTGCTCTATCTCTGTATTTACAATTACACAAGGAATACAAAATCCCTTTGGGGGAAAAAAAATAGCAATCTTTTCAGGCAGCAGTAAGACAGTTAATAAAAATGCCTTGGATTAAACATGGTTATTATGCTCCTTTTAGGTCAATACCTTGACAGTTCAGTTTGTWAATGTGTTCCACTATCAAAAATGTGATCTGACCTTGCCTCAACTGATAGCAAAGACTGAAAAAATCCCCCATGCTAATCTATATACTTCCATAGGTAATTTCTTTTTTCTTTTTTTCCTTTTTTTTTTTTTCCTTTTTTTTTTTTGTCAAAGGATCAGCCAGCATGTATGTTTTGGTAGCTCTCTTGATTCTGTACTAGCATCCTCTATGATCATGGCTCTCACGGTCATCCTGAACAACTCTTCAAAACTTTCAACCAAAAGAAAGAAAAAAAAATTGCCAACGTGACAACGTACAAAGAAGGAGCATCGAGACGACCCCCACACCGGGTGAACATGATCTCCGCGCGTGTTCACAGGGTCAGTTTGGATGCAGGCAGCTCAAGTCCCAGTCAAGACAACCGTGGTTACACCGTACTCTGTCACCCCAGCCTCTAGGGCTGGAATACCCCTCCAGGGAACCAGCCAGGCCCTCAAAAATGCAACGGGCCAAGTCCTCCTACCTCCATGGAGACATTTGGCTGCCCAAGACCTCTGAGTACCAAACTCGACCTAAGGAACAGTGCCCGGCTGCTTGTCACTCAAGCCAACACACCACAGTGTTGGGCAGGCAACGGGACACTGCCTCAACCTTCACATTCCAGCTTCGACAACACCTGAGCTCTCACCAAAGATTTGATCATGCAAAGCCAACAAGCAAAGAAAAAAAAATGCATTTATCTCTGAGCTCCTTGGGCCCTGCTTGGTGCTTGGGTGAAATTCTTGACCACCGACTGTTTTTCACACTGCTGTACACACTCAAGGAGCCTGCTGCACTCCCTCCTCAGCACCAGGACTACTGGCCCTTTAGATGCTATTTCACTTCTCTCTAGAATTATCTTGGTTACCCTGAGACCTCTGTGTATTATTGGCCCATTGCTAAAAGCATCATCTGTTTGTTGTCAGCATCTGTCTTTTCTTTTACGTGTAACGTGATGCAACTCCATATACTGTAAATAATATATATTATAATAATTTATATATGCCCTCAAGGCAATTATTTGGGGGGACGGGAAGAAAACATCCAAGCTTTAGGAAACCCTAGTTAAAAGCTGTACAACATCAGGAAAAAAATTCACCTTTAGGCATCGTCATAAGTAGAAGAGGATTTCGCTACGATTTAAAAGACTCTACATCTTGTTAGAAAAGAATTGCTCATTTCAATCTTTTGCAAGTCAGTTTAAAACAAGCACCAAATGAACAAATATTATTAAATCCTCCGCCCCGACCCAAAGTGTCCCGGTGCCTTCAATGTTTCGTTCAGTCCGCTTAGTTGTAGCTCACGTGCACGCGTCAGCAATTCATGGCACAAGGGTCGCTTTTGGACTTCCCTGCAGAGTTAATAACTCGCATCAAACAGCGTCCGAACTCCTCCAGGATCATGCGCTCCGCTGCTGCTTTGGACTTGCCCAGCTTCTCCGCCTGCTCTGCCTGCGCGAGGAGGCATTCACAGGTGGCATCCGCGACCTCCTTGGTGACAAAAGTAAAGGGTAGCCTGAACGGAATAAACGGAATAAAAACCCCAGTCATTCCCCACAAGAACAAAGGTCCCATTAGGAGCAAGTGACAGTGTGAACTGCAGAAGGCTGAGAGGGAATCTGATTAMTAAGTACATGAAGGGGGAATGTAGGGAGGAAGGGGCCAAGCTCTTCTCAGTGGTGGCCAAGGTTAGGACAAGGGGTAATGGGCACAATGGGCACAGGAAGTTCCTGCTGCATGTGAGGAAGAACTCCTTCACTGGGAGGGTGACAGAGCCCTGGAACAGGCTGCCCAAGTAGGCTGTGGAGTCTCCTTCTCTGGAGGTCCTCAAAACCGACCTGGATGCCGCCCTGCRCCMCATGCTCTAGGTGCCCCTACTGGAGCAGAGGGCTTGGACYAGGTGATCTCTAGAGGTTCCTTCCAACCTCAACCGTTCTGTGATTCTGTGAACTGCATCGACTTACTTGCCCCCACTGCTGCTGAGTGCTGGCGTCGGCCTCGTCAGCAGATCCGAGATCTGGGAAGACAACTTGGTCTTCGCCGCCGTCTGCTGCTGGACTCGAACCTCRGCGGCATCTGCTAAATGCATCAGTGTCTTGCGCTCCGGGCTTTCCTCAAAGTTCTTGCAGCCAACGCATTTACATATGGAAGAACACATGATTTTTGCCTGAAAGAAACAGGTTGTGAGGTAATAGTTGCAGTTTGGATCTGTTAMATGACAAAACAAGAGCTATTTCTGCTGTAGTGTGTTACCAATTATCTCCAGGAAAAAAACACGGATGCTTACTCCAAGTTCTGAAATCAAGGCAAGATGTCTCCCCAGAACGAACGTTCGAGACAAATGCAAGTCAAAGATTTCACAGTTAGCCCTTTCTGGCCTTCAAAACCAAATGAATTCCACTGAGGAGAGGGGAATTCCACCTCTGCAACCCTAAAACAGTCATTTAGCTGAAACAACAAGATTTTGGCCTTTGACTTCCAAAGCTTTAGATGTTCTTGCGTGCGCGATGCTGTTATAACTGCTCGGGTTCCTAGAGAGATGGTGCCAGACTTGTACTCAGGAAATACTGCTCTTCAGTAAAGGACACCCTCAAGTTGAGTACATAGTTGCTACATGTTTTAAAAATAAATCTACGGGAAGCAATGGATTTTGCAATACACATTGCTTTGTATGTGCAAATTGCCAGAAGAGAAGATCAAAGTAACTGCTGCTGCAATAGTGACAAGTCTTAGAAGGTCCAGTGCAAAACGAGAAGCATTTTCCCTGCTGCGTACTCAACACAAACCCYGTTTACAAACTATACAGACAACAGCAAGATGTGCCTTGGGTACTAATCAGACACCTTTTCAAATCTTGGCCCAAGTCAAAATATTACTGTCAGGAGGGGAACACAACCTAAGTGACAAAGCAAAGCTGGCAAGTCACAGTACCAAAAGGAGAAGCCAGAGACTTCGCGACAAGATTGTGTTTTGTACCTCATAACATTCACAGTAGTTTTTGAGACATCCCGAGCGTTTACAGTTACAGCCTTTGCTGTGTCGCCGATCCGATTCTCCTTCCTTTCCTTTCCCTATTTTGGGCTTGAAGGCTTCGGGGTTTCTGTCCAGGCAGGCCTGTCAATGCAGACTCAAAACATCAGTCATCGCACTCGGAGAGCAGGATTTAAAGGCGACAGCTCTAACCCCACCCCACCACAAGTAGGATATTGAGGTGTTATAAACCCACCCTAAGCACCCTGTAGCTCTACAAGGTAAGAACCCACAAGTCRGCTGTTCTGTCTCAGTGCTGCTCAAGATGCTGCTGAAATTGGTACCCAATAGGAACATGCTTTTCCGTTCAACAACGCGAGAAGAACAGACAGAAAAGATTCCTCACCTTTATTGCTTTTTGCCTATCATTTTCGTGGTCCAGATTGTTGTAGCAATTTGTACAGTTGCAGTTATTGCAGAATTCCCCGTTTGCAAAACAATCACAGTACCTGAAATAGAAGACATGGAAGTTAGGTGGTCTCAAGTTAGAAGACTCAGCATCTCCTCAAATCATAATAGTCGTTGCCTTTGTACCCAGTTTGGCATTTGAGAAGCATCTCCTGAGAAGAAGCAAGCCTCAGTGAAAAAACATTTATCTAGTCATATGCCTCAAAAAAGACCCAGCACCATCTTTCTGAGCTACTTAACTCAGCATGGCTTTACTGACATGTTTTGGTAGAGATCCACTTAGTGGTACTGTGGGATRCAATTGCACTCGCAGCAACGAGCACTCAGCTCCAAACGCTGAATCAAATTGTTCCCCTGTGTGCAAGGCTGCAAGGTCAGCAGTCTGTGACAAACTGAGGCGGACACAATTGCCCCTCTGCTTCATTCACATGGCACAGACACYGCACCATTTCCACGGAGGGGATCACCCTAAAATAGAATGGAGACCTCCCACTTTTCACGCACCTAAAAACCTTGTATTCTGGCTCCTGGCATAAATATGCAATGTCAACGTTGGAAGGCTTAAAAACAAGCTCTACTCACAGTTTCAAACACAGAGATTTGGTGCAATTGCAAGGCTTCCTGGGCCGGTTGGCAGATTCGGAGGGAATTATTCTGAGAATAAGAAAAAGGAAAAAAAAGAATTATTTAAACCCTCAGTGTTCACATGTGTGTCTCATACAAGCACAAGAAAACTTGTACAGTCCCCTTGCAACAGCTTTTTGGCTAACTGTGTTTATACAACTCCCATAAGGGATATCTTTCCAACCCAGAAAGAGCCAGGTTATTGGCTGCACACGTAGCTGTGTGCCTGAGGTGGCAATAAGGCTCAAAGTTAATCAACAGGTGATAACTAGTGCCCCAGAACACCTCTGAACACAAGAGGGGCTGCGGGCAGCTGATGGTCATACAGCTTGGCCATGCCTTGCATTTTGTTCAGGTTGGAATTAAATTAATTAGATAGAATTACAAYCTCCAGAGCAACAAGCAAGAAAGCCAAAAGCCAGCATTGAGTCTACAAAAAGAAGTATTTTAGAGCAGAGATTGGATATAACTACTCTTAAGAAAAAAAAAAAACCAAGCATTTTGTGTCACTAATCACTGTTGATGAGATTAAGTCCATTCTTACCTAACAAATTCTGCATGTAATGCCAGGAGATTAAAAGAAACCCATTCATTTSAATAGCTGCACCTGGACTTGGGGTTCCTTTGCATCACACTTCAGGTGGCAGCCATGAAAACTACCTTTGCGCACTCAATTTTTGGAGAGCRGAATCGCAGTGAGACTTGTCAGAACCTCTAAATATACTGGGGTGTGGAAGTGGAAATAAAATTCCTAACAACTGCTATTTCCAGCCTTTAGGGGAAAACATGTCTTTTCTTCTTTTTGAGGGGGAAGCAAGCTGCTTATTCAGCAGCTCACCCTGCAGGAGAATTGCKTTGGAAAACGTGTGCGCCCAACACTCACCCGTTGAAGGGCAGCCGTGCTTGGGACTGGATACTAGATGTCCCTGTGAAGCCAGTGTTGCTTGCTATAGATACATAAGATGATTGCTGTAACTAAGAAAACAAAAGGTTAATGTGTAACATGAAAAATAAAGGTTTGCAGAGTGTTATTTCCAGCAAGTCTTTTAATTGACATTTCATCTGTTGTTAGTAAAATACTAGGTCTTTCACTGCAGTTTCAGAAACTGGTASAAGTTGGACCAGACTTACACATTTAGCAGAAAAGAAAACTTGATTTCAGGCTGTTTTTGTTCTCTACTAGATCATCTACCGCCACATATGTAACAGAGACCACAAAYAAATGCTCACACCAAACATTTCCTWGAAGCCATGCTCATTTTCCCCTTATGCACCCAAAGGGACCCTTCCCCAAAACATCAACTTCACTTTCTGCACTAGCAACTTAACAGTAGCTTCCTCAGTCTACAAGTCACTTACCACCCACTTGATATGGTGTTTGTGGACCTGAATTTTCAACAGTTCATTATCACTTTGGTACAAAAAAAAAAAACCCATAGCAAAAAATAATTGGAATCAACCAAAAACCCAACATGTGCAATTAACTAAGGGAAACAAGATCAGTTGGTCTGGYTGCACAGTTTGTTTTGTGTAGCTAAAAAAAAAAATGATTTATTTATCCTTATTTCTATTGATAGACTAGTTAGGCTTCAGCAGAACTTGTCGTGTGCACTTCCTTCATTGGGAACCTTAAGCAGATTTCAGCAAAGCAGAAAGCTAATTCCTAAACACATTCTGCAGAGCAGGAACTCCAACAGGAACATAATACACATGGTATCAGCTCGATTCCTTGGCTTGTCGCCGGGTGAGCACCGTACCTGCGTGACATACTGAGCTGGAAGGACTGCGTAGCCTACGTTGCCTGCGCCAGGCGCTGGTGCCAGTACTGTGCCCGGGGGCAGGTTCGTGAGGTTGGGCTGTATCTGTGGCAGTGGAGTGGCTGGCATGATAAGTCTTTGCTGGGGCTGACTGGTAGTGACTATCTGGGAAGTTGGGTTGATTGGTTTGGGCACCACCTAGGAAAAAAAGTGGAATCTTGGTGAATCCTTATGAAATCTTTGGCTGTCCAGGGTAGACTTTTTAATAAATCCTTGTACTGAAGTGCTGCAAACTGGACCTCTTGGTTGGCCAGCAAAGAGCAGGCAGGAATAGGCACGTAGTGCTCAACTCACCTGTTTGACRGTCTGTGCTGGCACGATGGGGACAGACATCCGCACGGGAGTTGCGTTCACCACCACGGGCTTTGCTAGGATAGAGAAACCACACGACATGACARTCAGGACTCACAAAGTCAAGTTCCCTGTGCTCCAAACTTCCACCAACACGACTACAAAGATACTCTTCATTTCATGCATTGGCTAACTCGTAGAATTTTTTTTTCTCCTTTGGATAATTCATCCACTATCTCTGCTACATTATTTTCTGCTCACAAATACTCTATCTGTGTGTTTAACATGAACTGACCCAACACCAATCACATCTACAGTGCTATGTTTGAAGAACACCTTGGTAAATAAGTAAGACGACCAGGTGCACTTTTCACAGCAACACTTAAAAAAGGCAGGCCAGGTGCACACCACCTCTGAATCCTGGGTTTCCCTTTGTAAACAGGAGAACATAAAAGCACATCCGTCTTTGAGTCTGCTTATTCCATTAGGACTCCAGAAAGTATGGGTAAAAACAAGCAGAAACATCTAGCTCTTGGAAAGCACCTTATATTCCAAAATCTTAAGGTTGCAGTAGCCTGGCAAAAKGTCCATGGGCCTTTCCCAGCTTCCCACTTTTCATCAGGGCCATCGAGGACTTGCCACGAATCAACCCAGAAAASTGATAAGCTACGGGAAAAGCCGCCCCAAATGCTCCGAGATTTCAGCTTCACTACAGAAGAGTTGGACACAGAAGCATTTCCGCAGTCAAACCAGAAATAATAGAGGAACACGAAGCCTTCCTAGATCCATAGGTGTCTACCACAAMAGCAAGTCTGTCCAGCAGTCTTGTAAGATTTCTTCCAAGCAGTCACCAYGTCAAGGCTTTGCAAACAAGGCGAGCAAACCTCACTGGGTACCTCAGTCAAGGTCCTGGGCACCAGCACGTACCTTGCTGAAGAGGCTGGGTGTTCGTGCTGGGATTTTGGCTGGCAGATGGGGTGGAGCTGTTGGCTGTTGTGGCAGTGACAAGTCGCACGTAATGGAATTTGCTTCCAGGTACCTGGATCTGCTGGACATTTGGTGCAGTTGCCAAGGGAATAATGGTCTTAAACTGAGAGGTACCCACTCCTCCTACGGTAATGGTCTGCACTGCTGACTTCACAGGCTGTTGAAGCAACACACGCAGCAGCAAGGTTACTTTTGACCAAGGCAGAACTTCAGCATTTACCCTTCCATTTTTTTAGTGAACAGCTCCTTAACCCCTAATATCCACGAGAACAGTTATCCCTGTGTTGACTTTCTATAGCAGAACAGAGACACGAAGTCATTAAATGTCCCTGAAGTCTTGAAACAAAACAAACTCAGTTCCATTTGCAAATCTTCACACCAAACTCCCAAACATATTATAATCACACGGTGCAGTGACTCAGTCCCCTTCCCGACACACCATGTCAGCCATATTTTACTCCAGATGACTACAGAGAACATTGTGCAGTTTGTATTCAAAAAGCAAGCCAGGAACAAGCCTAAGAACATTACTAATAAAAACATGGGGGTACAAGCTCCTGCAGATCTGCTCCTGTTAGGCTACTGCAATTTATCTTTGTGGATGTAGATACATCCTGTTGGACCGTTTGGGATGAAAACCTACAAATGAGTGGGCAGCCCTCGAGATGGGAATGAAAGACAGCACAAGCCGAAACATGAACAGATGASAAAGCAGATTGGCCAAGGAAAGAAAGAAGCAAGAATAACGAAGGGGAAAAGCAAAGAAAAAGAAATAAGCAGAGATCTGACAGCATTTTGTCTGACATCTCAGCTGGGGCAACAGCATATTCCCATTTTGCTAGACTTATTTCCAATTTCTCTCTGACTAGGAACTGTTAACAAGGAAATATTTACCTGACTTATTTGTATTTATTACATGATTGGTTTGGTGGAGAAGGGCGTTTTTTCCATGCCTGCTGACAACAGCAAAAGCCTTGGATCCTTCCTCTGCTCTCCCCTTGTATCATACTACTTTTACAGTTCATCTTCTTATTCCCCATATATTTTAATATTAGTATTAAATATCATYTGTATTCTATTTCACTGTTAAATTTCACTGATACTAAGCCTTGTTTTTAGAAGAGCTTAGGCACCATTTATTACTCTATTTTCCCAGCTCCCCAACTTGCTGCAGTTACAGAATTGACATCTATATTTACATGTATTTTCCCAAATACTGTTTTACAAAAGCTGTTTTCTTGAGATTTCTTTAAAAATATATTGAAACCTCAACAACCCACAGCAACTCATAATAAGCTCTATCTGGGAGCGCAGTCACAGTACAAACGTTATCACAGGGAGACCAACGCGGGCAAAGTTCCTTCTAGCACATGAATTTTTGGCTGCTGTCCAAGGACAACTGGGAAAATTAGACAATTTTCAYGGCAGCTCTTAGTGCTTCAAAAGGGCCTGTGCAGCCTAGGAAAACCCTTGTGTTGCTGTGGATAACTTGGGATCAGACCTGGGTTGGGGGGAGGTACCGTGCAGGCATCTCAATCCTGTCTTTTTGGGCACTTGCATTAAAATGAGTAATATTTTTACAACCATTTTACAAAGATAACATTTCCCAGGAGAAAAAGAAATATTGGTGTCTAAGTGCCCAAAGCACCAGTCAAGGTAAGACAAGACTGTCAAAACCTGCCTCAATGCCTGGTCTTTTGCTCTATGTGCAAATCTACCTCCCAAGCAACCCCCTGCGTCTTTGCACTCATAGACCTCCCTTCATGCTGACCAAAACAGGAAGACAGATATTGAGACAGAAATATATTACATAATTCACAACAGAGAAAGTAAGAAGTTATGAAAGGCTTGAGTGCTGTGTTTTCTTTTTTTAATGGTAATGAAATTTCTCCACGCTCAGATGGACAATCCTGACATTCTTGTAGAAACAGSGATGCACAAGTCACTAACACCCAGCTCGGCAGCTCTCGGTGTCTCGCTTGGGCMGATCTCTGCTGCTCTGTCGTCAGCCTCAGAAACACTTGGAAAGCAGCCGTGCTCAGGGGGACAGAAACCTTACTCCCAAGTGGAAGAAACTGAGGCACCTCAGGAACTCTTCTTTGCATCGCTGGGAGACTCTCAGATGACTTGAGAGATTTAATGTACAGAGGCAATTACCTGATCTGCGCAAGACTTGCCTGGTTGAAAAGCTGCTTTCTCCCTGCAGCCCCTGGAAGGCCCTGATGGTGGCTTACACCCTAGGAAAAGCGCCTGCTCCTCAGAGCAGTTTTGGAGCCTGCTCTTAAGCAAAAGGCACAACAAAAACACTGCGGGACGGACAGACTGACCRCTGCAAACTGGCACTTTGGTGCTCCCGTCTGCCCCGAGGGATGAGACAAGACACAGACATGCTAGAAGAGGAAACAAAAGCCGGTCGGTACCTGTGCCGTTGTGTGGTTGACTATGGCCTTCCCAGGGGAAGAGGGTGCAGACTGCTGCACTGTGAGGATCTGCTGTCCTAAAGCTACATTCAGGGGGACGCTCACCGTCTTCTGCGGGGAGCTGGGAGGCTGGGAGGCCACTGACACCACTGTTAGCTGCTTGGCAAAACAAAGAAGCTGGTTTCAATCTCTGCACAGTAAACAGCACCCTGCACATATAGGTCCCCCTCCGCATCCAAGAGGTACAGGTGGCAACTGGCACCTCCAGCTCACCTTGGGAACAAGGGCATGGCGCTCGGCACCGTGCACCTGGGTGGCTCCTTCCAACCACGGCACCTACGTTCAGATGCACGTTGGAAGCCTCGAGGCATTAGCAGCTTCCAAGGCCAAAGACAGAAAACTGTCACTGAAGCCTCAGTGTTGTCACGAATGCATTTGCTAAAGAGTAGCTTTGTAAGTGGCACTGTGACAATTTTATTAAGAACAGAAGTCTCAAATGAGGGGAGCAGTGGGGAGTAACCATCTCACAATATACCATGAATTCAGGCAAACTCCAAGGACTTGATTACCATTTTCTAGTCTCGTTTTCAGATTGTTGTAGGGATCCATTTTTTCCAACCAGCTTTCCACACAGAGTTATGTTACAATATTCTGTAGACCTATGACCTTTCCAGGGCTGTTTTTTTCCATTTTACTTCAAACTTCCCACTTGCTATTGATCCTTATTTCTGAGCCCGAGACATTTGTTCTAAAGTGATGCAAAGAATTACTCCTCTACAGTGAAAACAAGATGGAGTTCAGTCTCTGCCCTATCCCAAAAACTTATTCCAKTAAGATTTAACTTACTTATTCCCCATATTTTGCCTTAGTAATTGTGTAATTATAGAAGCTCTTTGCTGCATATTACCTAAAAAYGTCATTCTGCCAGTAGTGCATGTGATACAAATAAGCATTCAAGAAGAATTAGACTGGCCCAGCTCTTGGTTCCTGCCTCAAACTCACCATCCTTCCAAYATTATTCCTCTTGTCAAGATAAATTTTATCAAGTCTAACTTTCAAGTGTCACCTTGACACCTGCCTGCAGCTCAGCCTGTAACCAGCAAGTTTTTTTCCCCCTATTTCTTGTTTACCTGTGCAAATCCTTGGTTCTGTATTTAGCAAGGATCATGGCAAACCTTAACAAAAAATCTTAGCCACATTGACTATGTAGCTAAGAAAGTAGAGCTGCTTTCAGAATAGATGGTTTGGGACTGGCAAGAAATGGGGGAAACTGCTTTGCAGGGTGGACAGAGACAGGAAGGCTGCAGCCAGAATCAARTCCTTACCTTGTTAGGGGATTTGAGTGGCGAGATAGCTATTTTATTGGGTGTCTGCTGAGCTGTGGTACTCAGGGATGATCCAATAACTCCACTCTCAGAGATTGTTATCGTCTTTGGTGGCGTTCCTGGAGCAGACTGTGAAAGAACCCTACCTATAATCAACAGAGAGATGGTCAGCTCAAGTTGTCCCCATTCACAACAGCTTTTAAAGCCAAAAGCTTCTCTGGCTTTCACTATTTATYCCTGCTTCTGGGGATATTACCTTGTGGTAAGGACACTGGAATTCCTTTTGTTATATTTGGCAAAGAACAAAAGGCTACTCTGTTCCAGACTCACTTCTCTCACGGTTTCTATTTAACCTATCGTCTCGCACTATTGATATCAAAGCAAGACAAAACGACCCAGCCTAACCTCTACCTAAAATCAAATGGTCACGTGATGATCAAGTCATCAAGAAGCACCATGGAAAAGGATAATCCTAGTGGAAAACTACCCTCCTCCAAAGCTTCCAGACTTCAAGACAGGCGGCACATAAATCAAAAGTAACAGCACACAACTAAAGCCACCTGCAACCTGAAACGCATCACCATTTGTGGGAATTATACCACCTAGTTTATTCAACACTTCTCATTTGTTTTTTAACGGTCACAGTTTTCCTTTTCTGCCTACTTGTTTTTACAGTTCTTTCAAAAAAACACAGCTTACACCTCAGTCTGCAAAAATTGACAGGCAATGAGAAATAGTCATATAGACCTTGCCCACAATGGCACCAGCTCTCAGAGCTGGCAAGTTGTCCTGGCCATTTAGGGTGGAGAAAGTGTATAGAGATCTTAAAAACACTTTCTTCTCATGTAGAGAAGCATTTTCATCCATGAGGAATGCTTCTGTCACAGGTCTGGGAAAAAGTCCTCTGAATTTTTTCATTGTACTTATTTCCTCTGATTTTTTTCCATTGTATTTATTTCAGGGAGATGTCTTGAACAGATTGACTTGCTCCTGTTACTTATGTAACATTTCCAATTTCAAATCTAAAAACACCATCTCTTCTAACCARAAAAAGAAGAGCAAAACAAGCCCAAGAAGTATAACCTGCAATGACTGGCGATACTTGAGTCGTCTGCCCCGTAACAGCTTTGCTATTGATTGGCTTTGCAAAGATGAGCTTGGTGATCACTGGCCCAGAGGTTGGGGTGCGCGTCTTCTTCGCAATCTGAAAGATGGATAGAAAAATATCTAACTAACTTGAGCATTTTCCAATCTGAAACATCAAATTAAGAAAAGCTTTGAAGAAGGCTGTGCTCACACACAGAAACAATCACTGAGCTCCCATTTCAGTGAAAAGTGCTAGCTGTTTTACCTGCAGCAACGCAGAAGCTCTTTCTGGAGCTATATTGAGTGAAAGCTTCAAACACCTGGTTCTTAACAGACAAGCTAAAATCATGGCACAGTTGACTTTTGTGGGAAAAAAAAATTGGAGAGGGGGTGGGCAATTTGCACACATTTTAATTTTCTCATCAACTCTGCACACTTCACCTGCTTGATTCATGATCTTCATTCTACTGATGTTAATCTGACCCTGCCACGAGGTTTTATGGCCCTTCAGTTACTGTGGCTTCCACTGTCTGAAGCGAGGGCRAAGTCTGGCTCCCAAGGAGATCCAAGTCTAGCAGGATCACGCAGCTAAGGTGGACAATCTCCAGCAACAATCCTCAAATACACTTTAAAATGCCTTTGAAAGGTTATCTGTTAACTGAAGGAGGGCAGGAAACTTAAAAAAACAAACAAACAAAAAAATCCTGGAACTTAAAACTTAAAAATAATAGCTGATTAGCACAAACATTGCTGCTTTCCCCAGGTGCAACCTGCAGTGGTGCAAGACTGATGGATAAAATGGGTCAGGGGCAGAAATAGCTCCAGAGAAGATCCTTTTGTTTACATGATTTTTGTCTAGGAAGCAAGAAGTCTAATCCATTCTAACTAATGGATTAATTCCTTATGGCCTAGGAAAAGCCAGCGAGTGCAAGCCTGAAGTGGCCAGCCCTTGACGAGGCCTGGCCCTTGGCCCCTAAGCCCTGACAGCTCCTGCCCTGCTCGCTGTCCCTTCCCCGTGAGCCCTTTGGAGGGTTTGGCCACTGGAGCAGATCCACTCCGGCTTCTTGTAACAGCTTCCCAGGCAGTGGCGGGCAAACTCCTTCCTTGTTTCTGTAGGAAACTGAAGAAACCAGGAGAAATCATCGAGGTGACAGACTGTCCCTTCGATGCTGCAGCACAAGGACGTTCTCTGGAGCCCTCTGTCATTGCCACTGCTGATCACGAGGAGCTCCACGCCGCCTTGCTCAGCCTCTGCGAGCTCTTCGCAACTTGCTTGGAATTAGACTGCAGAATTAGCTCCTGGGGCAAAAAGCTCTTCCGAAAGAATATTATTAGATTAAGAGGCAAACAGGCAGCTTCTTCCCCCTCCAGAATGCAAGGGATTTATCTTCAAGCATCTTGTATTTCTAAGAGGCTTCCTCCGAGCACTCTCTAGTAAACAAGACCCACAGGGCACTTTTAGCACCAGCCTTTGCCTTCAACTGTAAAATAGCATTAGAGTCATAAAAAAGAGACAAACACCCCAAACCACACACACAAACCCTAGTTCACATTTACCACTGAAGAAGGCTACGTGTATGCAGCCATCTACCACAAAGGAGCTGATGTGCTCTGAAATCCATGCTGTAGATGACCTAACGGGACCTTGTACCTACTATTTAATACTTATTTGAAGCAATGATAACATGACCAAGTCTAGGAAACAAGACAAGACCACTGTGGCAATCTTCTGAGATTATGACCGAGGGTGAAGAAATAAGACTCAGGGTTTACTCTGAGCTCAGGGAGTGCAAAAACTGTGCCAAGATGAAGCCACTATAATGAYTTATCTGGCCAAAAGCGCAGGAATGCTACAGCCAGAGAGGGGCCACCGTGGAGTTACCACAGGCAGACGTGCTCAAGMTGGGCTGCCTCAGTGGCAGCAATGCAAGTGGACCTGCCTCTCTGGTTAAACCAGAGTCATYTGTAAGGTCAAAGCTGGTTTAATGCACCTATACTTGCGTGTGCTACAGCAGCACAGCATTTTCTCTGAGTGTGCAGCCGGGCTGGAGCCCCAGGCCTGAAAGCCCCTGGATTCGCCAGTTTTGCCCACACAGCTTAAACTTTCTGCCCTCCTGACAGAGCTGAAATCAGTGCAGTTGTYCAAGTGGATACTACAAGGGACAGCAATAAACCTCTCGGTAGAGATGAAGCCAGGATCACGCTGCATTTCCCAGGCTGCAGCCTCCTCTCTCAAGAGCTGCCATCAGAGAGGCAGCGACAGCCTCAGGAATGTTTCCCCGGACGCCTCTTCCGATGTGCTGAGATCCCCAACAGCAGAGGAGCTCGCAGCGGGGCTGCGGAACGCTCATTTAACTCCTCTAGTGACCTGAAAAGCCCTGAAAAGACAGCGCTGATGTAAGGAGAACCAAGCAGAGCCCTTTGCCATCTCAAGCTGTCTTTCTCAAGCAATTCATCTTGCTGCGCCCRTTTGAGCTGCCGTGTTGTCTCGTGTCCAAAAGATCTTGCCAAAGCAGTTCGGTTCCACAACACCCTTGGGAGGAAGGGACGTAATCACAGCTTGTTTGCCACGCTGAAGGTGCCAAGAGGGGCACTGAGAGGCCAACAACCTTTCCAAGACCGTGGGGTAAACATCTAACTTCTTTTGCCACACCAGGGAGTCCAAATGGGGGTTACCTCCTGTGTTGGTCACGACGACGGGTGTTACAAATCCCTCATCTACCTGCATGTGTCTCTGGGACGAAAACAAAAAGTCCAAGTTGGCCAAAGGCGGCCAACTCATTATCTCCCTGCTTGCCTCTATCTGTCAGTCTGCAGGGAGAAACTGAGGCCAAACGCTGTCAACTGACCCATTCTTAAAAGTTCTCATGCGAGCCAAGCGCAGAAGCCTCTTGAGAAGATAGTGTGACAACCAACCACTAGGATTGCATTTGCTTGCATTTGCTTACTAGGAAACAGCATCTGGAGAACTCACCATTCTGCTCTTGAGTTTATTTTTCTCATGTGCAGCACATCACTGTTCATTTGTATATCTAGATTTTGATTTCTCACTTCATTTACAGACTGCAAAGCAAATATTTCGCTCCCTAACCCTTTCTGAGTGCTACTCTCCTTCGTTCTTATGAGATACTATTCATGCATCACTATTGCTTAGAACAGAGTCACTCACATTTAGTTCCACTGYGCATTACGTGAAAAATTGGAGCATCTGGGTAATAACTGAGCCCTTTTCAACACATTTTCAGATCCCATCAGTTTTTTTTCAGTTTCAAATATCTCCGGCTGTAGGCCAGACTCMAAGTCAGATGTCAAAGTGTCTGGTTTATGAGAATGCCTACTCTGCACACAGTCATTAACAAACTTTAGCAGATTTGAAGCATACAAAAGATACCTTGATGCTGTTTTTCATATGCTGTGAGGTCTTTTGGGGGCAGCCTATTTATGACAAAACATTAGAAGCAAAAGCTGGTTTTATCCTAAAGGAAGAAAGCAGTGCACACTATGAAGCAAAAAATAACAGCCACAGAAAAGCACGAGTCAGTCTTCCTGAAAGCATGCAGAATCTAGTAAAAATAATGGAAAAGGCCMTTTCAATTCAATGTTTTTTTCCCTGTCACAAACCATAAGTTTCTAGGCAGTAGCCAGAGGCAGAGGCCATGAGATCGCAGATGAATCTACATATGGAAAAGGAGTTCGGGCGCAGCATCGTGTTTCTAGATACGGAACGAACACAGAGGGTGGCAGCCACCCTTTGCCCATCAGTGCAGGAAACGGGCAGGAGTCGCAGCAACACAGCTGTTTATAAGAGCTTTCAGCAGCCCAACTCACTTTACCTGGACTGTTTTTAATTGCTGGGTCTGCAACACAGAAGGCTGGGCCGCCGTATTGATGAGCTGGCTCCCTTGCGTCAAAGCCGAGACGCCGACGACGGGTTTCACTTCCGACCTCCCGCCGATAACAACCTTGATCTGCTGGCCTGGCACCTTGGAGTCGGTCCCCGGGGCCGGCGAGGCGGCTTTCTGCGCCGGGGGCAGCTGGCTGTGGGGCAGCGCGAGCACTATGGGCTGGCCAGACTTGCCCAGAGTCGTTACAATCAGCTTCTGCCCATCCGGCTTAATGCCCTGGGTGCCTATTTTCAGGTCGGCGGCCTTGTTCAAGATGATCTGGTTGGCAGATATAGTGACAGGGGTCTGAGCACCGAGTTTGTGGAGGGCGCTTGGGAAGGCGGGCTTCAGCACCGCGTTCGTCTCCGCGTTGGCGGCCGTCGCGTTGGCYGCCGCTTCCCCCGAGTGGTTGCTGGGCACGGTCACTTGCTCCGCGGTCACCGCCGCAGTGGCCGCGGCCGACGAGTCGCTGGTCGAGCTCATGTTCACTATTTCTTCCAGTTCTGTTTCCATGGGAATGGAATCTCCCATGGGTGACGATACAATCACGGCCTCAATGCTGTCGTCTTCCACCAGAGTTATGCCCGTGTCCATGATCTCCTCCGGGAGCAAGCTGTTCACTTCGGCTGAAACCACCTCCATTTTAGCAGTTGTGGCAGTGAAGACAGGAGCAGGTACTGCAAGAACACGACAATGCAGTTAGTTATCAGCTTCCAGAAAAAACGCATTTTGCAAAGCTTTAATATGCCTACTAAAAGAGAAACTACAAGAACACAAGTTCTTGAAGAACAAGCACACTGTGCAAGCAGACAAGGTCTATCAAGAGACAAGTGGCCACAGCTCCACATTTAGCTTAATTTGCTTTCACTAATACTTTTTGTCTCATATCTCTCCAGGATCATCTGTTGAAGSTAACTGAACGGCCTTGCCATCCGCTCTTGACAATACACTTAAAGCAGAGCCCCTTCCCTGAAGACACAGACACTTTGCCATAGAGATTTCAGCTGACAGAGATAAAGGAATAAGAGAGCTTTACAAGTCTGACAGGTGTTAGAAGCTGTGTCGTACACACCGACATCTGCTAGCACATCACCTTTCCTCAGAGYGCTTTCCCTTCCACCAAATGCCTGTGGGGGTTCATTGGTGCCCAAATACTCCCTGCAGACATCTGGGTTGCAACACACAGGAAAGCAACAGCTGTCTAGGGGCTGGGGGCTTTATTAACCACAACAGCTCCATCAGCAGCCCACCTCAACACCACGGCCAAGCCGCGCCTCCCCGAGTGGCAATTTTCACATGGTAGCAACGCTGCCAGAGGCGGACGACAGGTCATTCAGCTTATTAGGGCCTCTCTCCATTGCCTCGCTCCCTCAGCATGTTCCCGCGCTGCTTGGGAGAGYGTACGGTGGGGGAATGTGTATTGCAGACGCGCTCGGGTAAAAAAAAAAGGGTGAAATGATCCATTTTGCTAAGGTAAGAATTGCTCATCTCCTACGCTGCCGCCATGAGCAGTTCAAGTGAGTCACTTAGGTCAGGGTGTGTTAAGCAAGGGCTACCCAGGGCGGGCAAAACTGTTTTTCTGAGAAAGAAAAGAAAGCAAATACTCAGAAATGGAGGTATTAGGAGGATGTGCCCGGACACTGTTGTGTGTAACGAAGATCACAATGCAGCAGCGGCGGATGGAGGGACTCCAGGAGAGGCCACCTCCCTGTGCTGTCTCATTAGGCACACGAAGACTCTGGGATAACTATACAGATTAAAGACGACCAACCAGAGCTGCCCTAAAGCCACTGGCAATATTCCTTTCCAACTAATTTTGCAAGTGTCACTTTGACGAGGGAAGGAGGAGCTCAAACCACCGGTGCATTTTGTATTTGTGCTTGGCCTGAATGGGAGGCAAAATAAAGCAGCTGTATAAATGCGTGAAGTCCAGTGTAGCCCTTAAAATAGCAGAGATACTCCTGGGAGCAATAGAAGTGTTAACATATGCCAAGTGAAACCAAGTATCCTTGCCAGCCAGAGCCACTGGCATATCCTTGAAACTAGGCTAAGATACACACGCTTAAGCGGAGCACAACTTGGAACCAGCAACACCGAATCCTTTCAACTACTTAAATAGGCACCACACAATCCTTAAAAAGAAGTAGAGAGAGGGAAAACAGACCACCACCAAACACCTCTACCTTCAGRAGGTCATCCTCGGTGTAACGTCCGGGGAGAGGAACAACATTGAGGTGGAGCCTATATAGGAAATCAGTTCCTACATCACTAACCACGCGCAGCTGACGACAAGACCATACGTTCTCCAGTAGAATGAGGTTCCCAAAGCCTGAGAAACGGGAGCCACATCTGCAGCTACTAAAGCACAGAAGGAAAATYGGCTCTGAATCTTTGCAGGAACAGAGTTAAATGTGTCCCTGTGCACCCTTTGGACTGCAGTGGTAAAAACTACATAACTTGCACCACAAAATCTTTGAATATTCACACACAGTTGTCCAAGGTGTGCATGCAACACCACCCTATCTTCCTCGTTGATGGCAAGGGCTCTGCTGCCAATGTACTGCAAAGCTCAGCTCTCCCCTGACCTCAGTTGTCCTTTTCACATGAAAATGAATTCTCATGCAAATGGGATCACAGCAAGTTTCCACGGAAATTAGATTACACACAGAGCACAAAAGCAATTTTCAGAACCCAACTAAGTCCTCCAGCATAGTACACGGCCAAAAACCCCGTGAGTCTCAGAGAGTCTTTCAAACAAAAGAAGAGCCGCAGAGAAMGGGGCAAGAGCAAAGAGAACTTTACAGATATTAAGCTGCATTTTAAACYATACCTACATTTCAAACTGGTCTTTTTATTTTTTAAATCACTCAGACTTTAGGTGACTGCCTTTTGCAGCTCACAGCAAGCAGAGAAGTCGACATTTCCACCTGKTTTTTAAGATGCACCTGGATCAGCCAACTGATGATAAATCAGTTTTGTGCAGAGGTGCAACATCCCTATGTGCATTCATCAATGACCCACAAGTCCAGACTAAGAGGGCAGAAATAGAGAAATCCTCTTGCATCTTGGATTGTTAGCTTTCCTCACAGGAACAGCTTCCTGTGCATCTGCCTTCACCCCTTCTCTCCTAAAAAGAGAGCATTGCAGCTCTCATCATGTTAATATTTAAGCGTTAGACACTTCTTTTCTGCAAACCTTGCTTTACTTTCCAGGAGAGAACTGGAGATTTTATACATACACACACACACAAACGTGTGTGTATATATATATATATATGTATATATATGACCCTCTTTGCAGGGGAGCACTTGAAAACAGTTCTGCTTTTTTGTTTTTGTAATGGGAAACAATGTGCTACTTTCAGGCAAAAATTCACGGCAAATAAAAACAAAATAGACAACAAAAATACAAAAGGTCTCTCCCTTGCTTTGGTTTCCATTCCAGTCTCTCATTTTTGGGACATTCAAGCATATAAAAGACAAAAGTTATATGTGTTTATAATCCCTAAATCCCTTGCAGCCATGAATAATCCAAATTTTAGGTATGCAGATAAGAAAAGGCTTGGAATTTAATGAAGGATTTTTAACCTTGGGATTCATACAAACTTCTTAACAGGGCTAAAAGAAATAGCCCATAAGAACTTATTTAAATTATAATTTTTTCCACAATATTTTCCATTGCAGTGTTAGGAAGCTGTAATGAGAATGATTAAGTTTGAAAAGTTTAGAGCACGGCCCAAATGTCGGGCTACAAATGAACGCCGGACCCAGAGCAATATCAACCTAAACACACACCTGCACGGCAAGTGCCATCGCAGGCGTGATATCCACATCCCCATGAACTTTTATGAGGGGTTATCACGTGGGGCACCTTTCAAGCCCAGGCTCGCTGCCAGACATTTGGTGAGGGTGCATTTTAGCTGTATTTTTAATAAGGAGGCTCATCCCAGCAGAGGTCTCATCCGGCAACCTCCTGGAGGCTGTGCCGTTGAGGAATCCCTACGGAGATGTGCTCCATAACACAGGCACCTCAGCACCACAGGCACCACGTGGAAGGCAAAACCTTGCACTGCTGCTTGTATGAGTCTAATGGAAGCAAAAACCAAACCACAACAACAACAAACAGAAATAGCCACCGCATGCAAGGCTGAGTTCAAGCTTTCACTTCCATATATAAGCTAGCATGGCATAGAAGAACATCTTGCACTAAAAAATTAATTCTCTGATGTGTCTTATGTAATAAGCTTCTTCTCAAAACTAAATTTTTGAGATGAAAAATAGACGGAAAAACAAGACCATAACTGTAAGGCATTCAGTGAAGCACTTCCAAGATTCAGACAGCAGTGAGAGCTCAGGCTTGAACACGGGCTTCTTGGGTCATCAATCAAATATTCAATAGCTTCCGGGCAGACAAAATAGAAGAACAAACTACTAAGATTGAGATAAAAATTGAAGAAAAAAATATTGCAGACAGAACGTGCCTGAAAATGTCATTCCGATAACGAGCGACACACAGAACTTTTTTCTTTTTTTTTTTTTTTCTYTTTTTTAACCTAACTCTATTATACCTCCTATAATATTCTAAAGCAACAGATGCACTGTATCTTACTTGGTCCCTAGAGATACTCCATTTCTGCAAGCGTACAAAGGCCACTGGAAGGGACAGTTATCCTGACCTGCCCTCCACGGATGTGCTGAGGAGCCTTCCCGAGCCTTCCAGGATCCCCTTTCCCATGCGGCTTGTGCAGCCAACAGCCTCTAATACCTTGAAAGTGATCCAGACAGTCCACTGCATTCCCAAAATTTACAAGAGAAGCAATTTAATGCAAACCCTTAATTTGCTTCCTCAGAGGAAAACAAACAGCCCAGACCTCTCTGCTTTTGTGTTGCAAGATGACCTAGCTCACAGCCTGTGCCTTTTCCCATCCAAAAAAGTCGTGCATGTACAAAAGATGCTTTTGTTGATGAGCAATTCCCAATTTTCTGAAGTGGACATTAACAGGACCATAGAGGACTGGACACGGAGGCTGACTGTGCAGAAATAATCGGGCCGGGGAGGTTATTTGATGCGCTTTGGCACTGCACGAATACAACTGCCCCATTTTACAGCCATGCTGTGTTAAAACATCATATAGCCSGACTAAGGTGCATCTACCTGCATCAGCAGGTGCCTCAGCACCTCCCCACCCTGCAACCTCACGTAAAAAGCCTAGATGTGACCAAAGAGTGAGCAAATAAAACAACTTATCAAGAGACATCAGTAAGAATTTTCTCAAGAAATCCAAGATAATTGACCAAAAGTCAAAGTTTAGTCAACCTGCAACCATGCACCCATGCAAACATTAAAGAAAAAAATAAATGCTGATTTCAAAGGGAAAATAAAATTCTCTCAGAGAGTCAGCTATTTTATGGGGTAATTTTATATAGCAAAATGAAATGATGAACATACTACGTCATTTGTTGGTTTGCTGTATTTGCCTATCCACTTCAGTGCAGTGCAGACAAGGACCACCAGCTATTCCAGGCCACTGAAATTGAGAAAAACTAATGGTGCTGAGACACAGCAAGAGGTCCTCAAGAAACCCCCTGAGGGGACACAGCGTCTCTCATCTGCTAGGAAAGTCTTCATGACCACATATGAGACCCAAGACTGGTCTAGCACTATTGGCTTACT